ACCACACTCTGCCATGTGCCACTTTCAGGTCTCCTCGCACACTGCTGGTGTGTTGAATTTTTTGACATAGGGTGCTGGCAGATTACGGGCCTCCCATTGCTGCTGCCAGGCCCCTAATCTGCCATGGGCCCCGTACCGCCTCCTCATGCTGCTGCCAGGTCCAGAGTCTCTCATGGGTCCCTGTACGGCTTCCCATTGCTGCTGTCTCCATCGCCACACTCTGCTATGTGCCACTTTCAGGTCTCCTCACACTGCTGGTGTGTTCCATTTTTTGTCATAGGGTGCTGGCAGATTACGGGCCTCCCATTGCTGCTGCCAGGCCCTAATCTGCCATGGGCCCCTGTACCGCCTCTTCATGCTGCTGCCAGGTCCAGAGTGTGTCAAGGGTCCCTGTACGGCCTCCCATTGCTGCTGCCAGGAGGCAGCAGGGTCGCAGCAGTGTCAGTGGAGGCAAACGGCCACGGAGTAGAGCACCAGCTCCACTGCAGCCTACCACCACGGCCAGTAGTGTGTGCCGGTGTGCACGGAGGAAGTAGCAGTCAGCCAGTGAGGAGTAGCGGGGGCAAAGTTTCCTACTCGGCGGTGTGGCAATTTTTCGTCAAGCCGCCCGAGGAAGTAAACGTAGCCGTATGTCGACTATGTGGCCAGAAAGTCAAGCGTGGCCAGGGGGCCCATGTTGGGACTACAGCGTTGCGTCAGCATATGCAGCGTCGCCATTCGGTGGCCTGGGGAAAACCGTGATAAAGATACGGCGGTTCTGCCTGCCCCAGCCCAGGGTTCCATTTTGTCATAGGGTGCTGGCAGATTACGGGCATCCCATAGCTGCTGCCAGGCCCCTAATCTGCCATGGGCCCCTATACCGCCTCCTCATGCTGCTGCCAGGTCCACAGTCTCTCATGCCATGTGCCACTTTCAGGTCTCCTCACACTGCTGGTGTGTTGAATTTTTTGACATAGGGTGCTGGCAGATTACGGGCCTCCCATAGCTGCTGCCAGGCCCCTAATCTGCCATGGGCCCCTATGCCACCTCCTCATGCTGCTGCCAAGTCCAGAGTCTCTCATGGGTCCCTGTACGGGCCTCCCATTGCTGCTGTCTCCATCGCCACACTCTGCCATGTGCCACTTTCAGGTCTCCTCACACACTGCTGGTGTGTTGAATTTTTTGACATAGGGTGCTGGCAGATTACGGGCCTCCCATAGCTGCTGCCAGGCCCCTAATCTGCCATGGGCCCCTATACCACCTCCTCATGCTGCTGCCAAGTCCAGAGTCTCTCATGGGTCCCTGTACGGCCTCCCATTGCTGCTGTCTCCATCGCCACACTCTGCCATGTGCCACATTCAGGTCTCTTCACACTGCTGGTGTGTTGAATTTTTTGACATAGGGTGCTGGCAGATTACGGGCCTCCCATAGCTGCTGCCAGGCCCCTAATCTGCCATGGGCCCCTGTACCGCCTCCTCATGCTGCTGCCAGGTCCACAGTGTCTCATGCCATGTGCCACTTTCAGGTCTCCTCACACTGCTGGTGTGTTGAATTTTTTGACATAGGGTGCTGGCAGATTACGGGCCTCCTATAGCTGCTGCCAGGCCCCTAATCTGCCATGGGCCCCTATACCGCCTCCTCATGCTGCTGCCAGGTCCACAGTCTCTCATGGGTCCCTGTACGGCCTCCCATTGCTGCTGTCTCCATCGCCACACTCTGCCATGTGCCACTTTCAGGTCTCCTCACACACTGCTGGTGTGTTGAATTTTTTGACATAGGGTGCTGGCAGATTACGGGCCTCCCATTGCTGCTGCCAGGCCCGTAATCTGCCATGGGCCCCCGTACCGACTCCTCATGCTGTGACGTTGCAACAAGGTGGAATTCAACCCTACATATGTTAGACCGCCTTTACGAACAGCAAAAGGCCATCACAGATTTCCTGATGTTAAAAGCGGATAAAGGTACTCCCTGTGTAACTTAGATGTCAGCCATTGGCAGCTCATGCGTGACACCTGCGCTTGCTCAGGCCCTTTGAGGAGGCCACGCTATTCGTGAGTCGGCAGGACTATGGGATGAACGACGTCATTCCTCTGTTGCACGTCCTGGAACAAATGCTGTTAATAATGGCTGGTCAGGGTGCGGTAGACGTGGCGCACAGATCTCAACGCCACATGACCCCTGTGGGGGCAGGACAGGAAGAAGAGGAGGAGGTAGAGGAGGACATTGGTGCTCAGGAATTATTGAGTGAAATGGGTGGTTTTTCCACTCAGCGGACAGGAGTGGAGGAGCAGGAGCATCTGGTAGAGGAGGAGGAAGAGGAGACAGAGGACCCAGACGCACCGTGGCAGTATGCTGTGGAGATGGAGGCAGGGAGTCCCTCGCATTCCTTGGCACAAATGCCCATAGCATGCTCACTTGCTTGCGTACCGACAGCCGAATAATAACCATCAGACAGAGGGATGACTTTTGGCTGTCCACCTTGTTGGTCCCTCGCTACCGTTCCAAAAAATGGTGGCCTTTTTCACACCTGCTGAGAGGGAGGCCAAAATAACGTACTATAAAAACCACCTATGTAGTCAGCTGGTCTCTGCCTGTCTGCGCCAACGTCCATCCTCAGACACTGTGGGCCCTGTGCGCTCGCGTTACGCTGCCATGGCAGCAGGGGAGGGGTGGGGTGGTAGGAGCAGTGGCAACTCCACCAGCAGCAGCTGCCTCAGTCTGCAGTCGATGATGAGTAGCTTTCTTCACCAGCGCAGTGAGGAAACTAATAACCAGCCGCAGCAGCAGCAGCATCAGGTGGACCTGGAGCAGGACCTCAAACAACAGGCTTAGGCCTACTTGGACAGCACCCTGCCAACCGAGGTAGACAATCCCCTTGACTACTGGGCAACGAAACTTGACCTTTGGCCCCAACTAGCTGAATTTGCCCTTGAAAGGCTGTCATGCCCGGCCAGTAGCGTGGCATCGGAGCGCGTGTTTAGTGCGGCAGGAGGTATTGCAACTCCGAGGAGGACACGACTGTCCACCCAAAGTGTGGAGAGACTCACGTTTGTGAAAATGAATCAGGCGTGGATTAGTCTGGATTTCAAACCACCAGTTCCTGACACAACTGACTAAATCCGCCATGAATCATGCCCCAAACATGTGCCACTTTCAGGTCTCCTCACACTGCTGGTGTGTTCCATTTTTTGTCATAGGGTGCTGGCAGATTACGGGACTCCCATAGCTGCTGCCAGGCCCCTAATCTGCCATGGGCCCCTATACCGCCTCCTCATGCTGCTGCCAAGTCCAGAGTCTCTCATGGGTCCCTGTACGGCCTCCCATTGCTGCTGTCTCCATCGCCACACTCTGCCATGTGCCACTTTCAGGTCTCCTCACACACTGCTGGTGTGTTGAATTTTTTGACATAGGGTGCTGGCAGATTACGGGCCTCCCATAGCTGCTGCCAGGCCCCTAATCTGCCATGGGCCCCTATACCGCCTCCTCATGCTGCTGCCAGGTCCAGAGTCTCTCATGGGTCCCTGTACGGCCTCCCATTGCTGCTGTCTCCATCGCCACACTCTGCCATGTGCCACTTTCAGGTCTCCTCACACACTGCTGGTGTGTTGAATTTTTTGTCATAGGGTGCTGGCAGATTACGGGCCTCCTATAGCTGCTGCCAGGCCCCCCTAATCTGCCATGGGCCCCCTATACCGCCTCCTCATGCTGCTGCCAGGTCCAGAGTCTCTCATGGGTCCCTGTACGGCCTCCCATTGCTGCTGTCTCCATCGCCACACTCTGCCATGTGCCACTTTCAGGTCTCCTCACACACTGCTGGTGTGTTCCATTTTTTGTCATAGGGTGCTGACAGATTACGGGCCTCCCATTGCTGCTGCCAGGCCTGTAATCTGCCATGGGCCCCCGTACCGCCTGGTCACGCTGCTGCTGGGTCCACAGTGTGACATGGGTCCCTGTACCGCCTCCCATTGCTCCCACTCTGCCATGTGCCACTTTGAGGTCTCCTCACACTCCTGCTGTTTTCCATTTTGTCATAGGTTGCTGGCAGATTACAGGCCTCCCATAGGTGCTGCCAGGCCCCAAATCTGCCATGGGCCCCCGTACCGCCTCGTCACGCTGCTGCTGGGTCCACAGTGTGACATGGGTCCCTGTACCGCCTCCCATTGCTCCCACTCTGCCATGTGCCACTTTGAGGTCTCCTCACACTCCTGCTGGTTTCCATTTTGTCATAGGTTGCTGTATGGCCTCCCATTGCTGCTGCCTCCACCGCCACACTGTGGCTCCAAACACTGGTTTTGGCCCCGTGACTGGCCAAATGAGTGAAGTGTGCGGTGATTCTAAGATCGACGGCACTCATCTGCATGTCATACTGACTGACAGTATTATTTCTCTTCCCCAGCAGACTCCAAGGGCATTTAAATTAAAGGTACAGTGTTCTGCACTAATATTAAGTCTCTCTGAAGCCTAGAAACACCCTTTTTTAAGTTAAATTCACAGCGAATATATTCGACTCGAATCGAATATTGTCCACGAATTCGCCGAATCAGTCGAATCGAATTTTTGAATACTTCGCTCATCTCTAGTGACCTTACTACCACTACTTTACTTTTGGAATGATCAGCCATTTTCAAAATAAATGCCAAAATGTCACAATTTCTGCCAGGGTATGCAAACCTATGAGCACAACTGTATATTTCACACTTTGTATAGACTGTTTGAGTACTCAGATGGTATACTGATGTAAATGTAAGAGGTTTCCAGCATTATTCATATATGACATATTGAGGTAGATTTACTAAAACTACATACACACACACACATATATATATATATTGTGGCAGTGCGGTGTCCTGCCACGGTCAAACTCCAGTTGAAAACCCTGGATTCTCAACCAGGCAGGTTGAGGGGCTCCAGAGAGTTTATGTATTGCAGAGGAAACTGACTTTTCGGTTTCCTCATTTATTCATTAAGTTTGTTTTGGGATCTGGAGCCTGGAGATTTCAAAGAGATCTGGGAGGGATGAAATCTCCAATCCGGGGTCCGTGTTTTGAGAACCCCCAGCACACTGAGTGCACAGGTGTGTACAGGCCTTTTTATAGGGTCCTAACCATAGTTCTGGGCTCCACCCCGGCAAACTGAGTCAGGAGGGCTCCACCCTGGCAGACGGGAGGTCTCTGCCTTGGAGTCAGGTGGAAGCCAGACTAGCTGTGTGCTAGTGGCCATAATTTGGGAAGAGTCTGCAGGAGACAGACATTGAACTGTGTACAAGCCAGGAGGCTGAACCTTTGTTGGTATTGCTTGATGTTGGATACCCCTGCGTGGGAAGCATTTTTCTTTATGGAACTTTTTTCTGTAAATAAAATTGGGCAAAAAGGCCCTTAAAAAGAAGCGAGTTGCTTTGTGCTTTGAAGAAGCTCTACCACTTTGAAGCGAGTTCCCACATATATATATATATATATATATATATATATATATATATATATATATACACATACATACACACATATACACACACACACACATATATACATGGGAATGTTTGACCATTCTTCCAGAAGTGCATTTGTGAGGTCAGGCACTGATGTCAGACAAGAATGCCTAGCTCGCAGTCTCCGCTCTAATTCATTCCAAAGGTGTTCTATCGGGTTGAGGTCCGGACTCTGCAGGTTAGTCAAGTTTCTCTGAACTCGCTCAACCATGTCTTTATGGATCTTGCTTTGTGAACTGGTGCACAGTTATATTAGAACAGGAAGGGGCCATCCCCAAACTGTTCCCACAAAATTGGGAGCATGAAATTATTCAAAATGTCCAGGTATGCTGATGCCTCAAGAGTTCCCTTCACTGTAACTAAGGGGCCAGGCTCAACCCAACACAGAATATAACCGGTTACTAACATGTATAGGTAAAGTTGATCCAGGGAATATTCGATTGCCTCTCGGGGGATCAGGAATGAATTTTTTTCTCCTGCAGGAGCAAACTGGATCATGCTTTTCTGGGTTTTTTTGCCTTCCTCTAGATCAACTATAGGTGTAGGATTATAACTTTATTTTTTTAATGGTTGAACTGGATGGACTTACTGTCTGTTTTCAGCCAGACTAACTATGAAACCCCTGAAAAACAACCCCACACCATAAACCCCCTCCACCAAACTTTACACTTGACACAATGCAGTCAGGCAAGTACCATTCTCCTGGCAACTGCCAAACTCAGACATGTCCATTGGATTGCCAGAGAAGCGTGATCGGTCACTCCAGGGTACACGTCTTCATTGCTCTAGAGTCCAGTGGCAGCATGCTTTACACCACTGCATCTGGCACTTTGCATTGCATGTGGTGTGTAAAGCTTGGATACAGCTGTTCAGCCATGGAAACCCATTCAATGAAGCTCTCTACGCACTGCTGTTGGGCTATTCTCAAGGCCACACAAAGTTTGGAGGTCTTTAGCTATTGGCTCTGCAGACAGTGGTCAACTTCTGTGCACTGTGCGCTTCAACATGCATGGACCCCACTATCATTTTACGTAGCTTACCACTTCATGGCTGAGGAGTTGACCATGGAACATTAACCACTTCCCGTCCAGCCCATGTATATAAAACAGCCAGATGGGAGCAGTGCAGGGGCGGGTGACCATTTATAAACGTCCTCCCCGCTTCCCTGGGAGCACGCAGCACCGCAATCCGGTGCTTGCTGTGTCTGGGACCTCTGTGTGAGGTCCAGATCATGCGATCACTGATTGGCCAATCAGTGATCAAATGAATAGTAGTAAGCAAGATGTCACTTCTGACATCATTGCTTACTACGTGTGAAATCTGTGAATGATCACAGAGATCACATGGTACAAGGCCATTTACAACAGCCTTGTACCATGTGACAAGCTGTGACCAATTACAGCTCTCATAGTATTTCTCAATGGCTGCAAGAATGCAGCCAGAGAGAAGGAGAAATGATTGATTTATAGCTTTTATGGGTGTAAAAGCAATCAGTATAAAAAAAATCTTCATCGCAGGAATAACCCCCCACAAGTAGTATGGTGACACTGTACTGCTAGGGTGACAGTATGTTATAAAAAAACACAAAAAAACAAATATAAAAAAAAATAAAAATGTAAAAAAAAAAAAAATGTTTAAAAATTATAATTTTTGGTTATAAACTAATTTGGGTTATTTTTTTTTTTACTAAACATATAACGGAATAAATTTTGGCCAAGATTTATGATGAAATATTATTTGCAACATTTTATAAGAAAAAACACTTTTTTTTCAAAATTTTTGGACTTTTTAATTTACATAGCAAAAAAAAATCCCAGTGGTGAATAAATACCACCAAAATAAAATTTTATTTGTCTCAAAAAAATGTTAAAAAATGAATATGGGTACAGTGTTGCATGACCTCACAATTGTCATTCAAAGTGTGATAGCATTGAAAGCTGAAAATTGGCCAGGACAGGAAGGGATAAAAGTGTCCGGACTTGAAGTGGCTAAGTAGCAATGAATTTGTATGGATGGACTTATTGCACAGGTGGCAACCTATCACGGTACCACACTTGAATTCACTGAGCTCCTGAGAGCAACCCATTCTTTCACAAATGTTTGTAGAAGCAGTCTGCATGCCTAGGTGCTCTATTGTATACACCTGTGGCCATGGAGGTGATTGGAACAGCTGAATCCAATACTTTTGGCAATATAGTGTATATACTTTATGTAGTGCCTATGACCTCCCTCCTACCTAATTATATTGTCTAAATCAATGTGTAAGTGCTTTATTTAGTGCAATTTGCGCCTTATTAAATATGCAGTGAACACTATGGTCTCTGGTTTTTGTCCTCTCTTTAATAGGTGTCATGCTGCATGGATTGAAAAAGTTAAAACCTTTCCTACAATTGCGCCTACCTTTTATGAAGCTGGATGTGAGGTGTGTATCTCTTTAGCATAGTTAGATCTCTTATAATTTTACGGGTCTAACTAGAAGGTGAGCAGTGTCTGCATCTGTTTCACAAGGTGGATTTTGGAGAGCACTGCTTTTCACAGTTTGTATGCTAACAAGAGATTTAGCTGTCTCATATTGTCACGTTTTGCACTTCATGAACTTCATGAAATTCTCTGTTTGATTGCATGTTTCAGCTCATATGAAATGAGAAAGCTAATGATTTGGACGCTTATTAATGGACACTTAACATTCTAATTCTATCTTTAAGTTAGTTTACCATTTTGTTATTGATTTATGTTCTTGTATTGAGAGTTATCATTTACGTGTTTTTTTCCCTAAACAATGCTGTGGTAATTTACATATCTCTGCACGTTTATTGTGGGTGTGGAACACTTATTTAGTGCTAGCAGACTGTACACGTTTATTTTTCTTTTCAAAAAAATGTATTTCCAATAAAAAACAAATTACTTACACATAAAAAAAA